TATATTAAATTGCTTGATTTAGCCATTCCACAATGTATTTATTTATCAAAATATCACATTGTGTGCCATATATATATATATACACACATACATATATATAATATTTACTTGTCAAAAATATAAAGGAAAGGATAAAAGGCAAGTTTTGGGGAAGAATTCTGGCCGACATTAAGTGATCAAATATACATCTTCAATATTGGAACAATCCAATTTCCAGTGCCATTTGACAAGATACATACTATGAAACTCAAATTGAAAGACATTTAACAGCTCTTTCCGTGCTTAGCGCAGCCATGGCCCGCGGTCCCAAGAAGCATCTGAAGCGTGTAGCAGCTCCAAAGCATTGGATGCTGTATAAGCTGACTGATGTGTTTGCTTCTCGTCCATCCACCGGTCCCCACAAGCTGAGAGAGTGTCTCCCACTCATCATTTTCCTAAGAAACAGGCTTAAGTATGCCCTGATAGGAGATGAAGTGAAGAAGATCTGCATGCAGTGCTTCATTAAAATCGATGGCAAGGTCCGAACTGATATAACCTACCCTGCTGGATTTATGGATGGCATCAGCATTGACAAGACTGGAGAGAATTTCCGTCTGATTTATGACACCAAGGGTCGTTTGCTGTTCATCGTATCACACCTGAGGAGGCCAAGTACAAGTTGTGCAAAGTGAGAAAAATCTTTGTGGGCACAAAAGGAATCCCTCATCTGGTGACTCATGATGCTCGTACCATCCGCTATCCTGATCCACTCATCAAAGTGAATGACACCATTCAGATTGATTTGGAGACTGGCAAGATTACTGATTTCATCAAGTTTGACACTGGTAACCTGTGTATGGTGACTGGAAGCGCTAACTTGGGAAGAATTGGTGTGATCACCAACAGAGAAAGACATCCCGGGTCTTTTGATGTGGTTCACGTGAAAGATGCCAATGGCAACAGCTTTGCCACTTGCCTCTCCAACATTTTCATTATTGGCAAAGGCAACAAACCATGGATTTCTCTTCCTCAAGGAAAAGGTATCCGCCTCACCTTTGCTGAAGAGAGGGATAAGAGACTGGCAGCCAAACAGAGCAGTGGGTGAAATGGTCTCCATGTAACATAATAACATGTTAAAAAGTTATTTGTACTTAATTAAAGATATTACAGTATGATTCAAAAAAAAAAAAAAGAAAGAAAGACATTTAACAAAAACAATTGACCATTTATTTTCAAAATATAAAGATTGAAGAATTTTTCAGTTAGACAGTAAATGCAATATGTGATCCTAAATTGGATTATAGAACAGGAGAAATTGTAAAGGATATTATTGAGACAATTGCTGAAAATTGAATATGGAGTGTGGTTTAGATGATAGCATTATATGAATGTTTAATTTTGTGATTTTGATAATTGTATTGTGGCTATGCAAGATAATGCCCTACTTCTTAGGAAATAAAAACTGAAGTATACATGGGTAAAGGTACATTGTATCTCCAGTATAGTCTCAAATGGTTCAAAATGATATAATAAATGGGGCAAAACGTAATCCATTGGTGAAAATTGGCGAAGGGTGCATGCACAGGAGTTCCTTAAAACTTCTTTGTATGTTTAATATTGCACCAACATAAAAAGTTAAAAAGGTTTGAAAGAGCTGACCATCTTGCTAATCCATGTGTTCCTGAACTCCTGATTGGGAATCATGGGTTTGGTTTGTGTGTGGGATGACTCAGGCACCTACTCGGAATTTCTTGGCATCCAACCCTATCATGTTTCCTAATGCAAACCTGCATTATTCTTTTCTCAGAAAGATGGTTAGGTCACTCATTTTAAAAACTTCCCTGGAATGTGTAGAGTGTGGAGATTATTCTTTTCTTCTTCAATGTGACTCACTGTTGTTACGAGAAGCAAGAAAATCAGTTTCCCTATTCTACAACTCTATGTTCTACTCTATGACTCACAGTGGAAATGCTCATCAGCAAGGGTTTCAGCTACTCTCTAATTGTTCCCTCGCATAGTCAGTCTGCTTCTTCGTCGGTCCACTTTCCAGCCATGTCTATATTGAGATGTCTCATAACAGCTGTGGTGAGCTTCATTTTTTTTTTTTTTGAGAAAAATCTCTCTTGAGAAATAGGTTTAAATCTATTTAAGTTTACACTCAGGAAACTACTGTAGTCAACGTAACTCATTGGAATATTATAGTCATAGCTCAAGGCTCTGTTGTAGGACACCTGTCTGTGAGTTTCTCCTTTGCTTCAAAGATATTCTCGCAGTCTCCCCAGATCAGAGGCCACCTAACCACAGCAATGGGCCAAATCTGTCCCACTGCCTGTTTTGTAAATAAAATTTCATTGTAACATACCCCCACTCATTTGTTTATTTATTGCTTGTGGCTGTGTTCATGTTATAATAGCAGAGTTAAGTAATTGTGACAGAGATTGTGTGTATCACAGTGCCCAAAATATTACTATGTGTCCCTTTTCAGAAAGAGTTTGCTGAGACCTATTCTAGACAGTCCCCTCCGTAAGTATTACACCAAAACTCATTCTTTCTTTCCCAAAAGAAAAGTTAAAGTTTAAAAACAGACCTTTAAAGGACTCAGTGTACAGCGAAACCTTAAATTACTCTCCATAAGGCAAAGTTACAAAAAGACAAATCAAATCTTTTCTCCAGGGTACTGGAGGGAAGAGGATTTCTTCTACTTTCTAACTTTTTCGTTTTCTTTGGAACCCAGAGCATTGCTTTTTGCACAACTGCTTAGTCAATATATGTAGTCTAACTGAAGTTTCTAAGCCCATCAAAAGTGAAGATTCTGTTTCACAGAGTTATTTTGTAGCACCCATTCTGCCCAGTATTATGTTAGAAGTACAGTATCCTTATCATGTTAATGGTAATTTAGATAGATAATTTCGTGAAACTGATTTTAGTATTCATGTGTAAAGGGACCCTTCTATTATTTCTAGTTCAATTTTGCCTATTAAAGAAAATGCAGTATTTTTTCCCATGGTTATTTATTTATTCATTCATTTTAAAGAATTTAATGGCTCCCGTTGAGGAGACTTCAATGGGTCTGCTTTATTTTCATTGCTTTGGCTAGATTTATTATTTATATCCCTTGGCTGATTCCCCATCTGACTTCTAGTGATTTATTCATTCATACAGGTCCTAGTGGGGTAGGGCTGGGGTGCAATGGACATTTTCATGAGTCTCCACAGCACACACCACTATGTTTATGGCACAGTGAGCATAACTTTCTGTCTTGCTGTTAGACTTAGGGTTGCTAGTCTCCGTAAGTCAGGACCCTTAGCACATCTGTATACAATGTGCAGAAATGCAAAGATGTCAAAACCCGGGACACATGCAGCCCAGCACTTGACAAGCAGAGTGTTATTAGCATTGGTAATAAGACTACCTGGGTCTGTCAGCAGAGGTCCCTCAGCTTGAGATCATTTACATTCACTGCACACAACATTCAAACCTGGCTCCTAAATGAGACAGCTTCAGAGAAGACAGTGGAAACCCTGACAGTAAACTGAAGATTTTAGGTAGAAATTATTTTATCCTAATTAAGAGAACCTCTCAGACCTACCTTCTGGCAATTAACACAGTTGTGTGCGGTCCTATTATTTAAACTGACAAGAGCAATCCTAGGTTCTACAGGCTCAGGGAGCCCTCTCTCCTTTGGAATGCCACAGTCCAGCTCTCCTCTCTGTAAATAGATTCTCTTTGGCTTGCAACAGCAAACACTTCAAACATTTGCATTTCACTCATTACTTGTGCTGCTACAGGCTGAGTGTGACCCTGCCTTAGAAACAAATCCAGCTGAAAACCACCTAATGCTGCTGGTTATATAACTTAGATTTCGCTAAAACATACTTCCTAGGACAAAAAGAAAGAAATGGGATAGTTGTACCATGGGATTAGCTTGGTCAGATCTCATTTTTTACTTCTTTCAGCAAAACCTCTTTCTCCTTAAACTCAAATTATGAGAACTCAGTTCTTGTCCATGGTAAGAAGTCAGTGGAAAGAATGTCAAACTTTACATTAGAAAGCACAGTGGGAATTTACAAACAGTTTCTTAATGCCCTTTTTCCCCTTGACAATTATTATTTTGACAGATAGAGATGGGAGTATTTAGGAATGGTTGGCAAATATATTTTTTATGTGTGGGTTAAAAAAAAATCTCAAATTGAGTTTCAAAATCTCAAGTGGTGCCCTTCCTTTGATCTGTCACATTGTGTTCCCTTCCATCACATTCCTGCACAAGCCCTTACATTTAAAGGAGCCAGCCTTTTCTTTATCCAGGTCAGATACTAATTTAGAAATTTGGTGTGAAGTAATAATGAATAATGGATGAACCAAATCATAGCCCCAGAATCTCAGGAACATGGGAAATCTTCAAAGCCAGCTGGAATGTGTGAACTTGGGTGTCAGGAGAGACCCATCTGAAGGAATGGTTCTCTTCTCCACCTGCCTGGTATTCCACTCACTGCCAGCTGGGTTTGCTTCCCTCAGTGTTGAGCCCAAATCAAATTGTCACATGTGAAAGTGGTGAAATACTTTGTTCTAAATTTTATTTGAAATCTAGAAATCCTGCTTTTGGTTACCTGTGAATGCACAGAGTCTTGGCATAGGTTTGGGAAGTGCATCATATTGCTTTCAGAAATCTTTGATCTGCCAATAATATCAGCCATCATCCATTTCTGCTTTCTATGCTTGATGTTTATATAAGTTTTACAGGAGCCAAAGAGTCAGTTCCCATTGGCCCTCCAAAGTTTTGCTGCAAAATTAACTGGTAAAAGGCAGATTAATTAGAGAAAAGGTATACATATTTATTTAATGTATATACATGGGAGTCTTCAGAATGAAGACCCAAAGATACAGAGGAAATTGTCCATTTTTAATGCTTAGATTTAACAGAGTATGAACAGCTATGCAGAATTATGATTGGACAAAAAGAGTATGATCTAATACTAATAGACTGAGTGGGGAAACCCAGCAAGACTGGTTGGTCTAGATTCTTCTTGGCTTTTCTGAGTATGCATTCCTTCCTTCTGGGTAAGAGGCAAGGCCCTCTCTGGCATGGGGGTCCTACGATCTACAGTCAAACAACAACGTAAGTCAGATAATTCTTCATGGCTAGTTTTTACACAGAAAGGTGGAGGAAAAGTTAGAGTAATATTTTTAGGTTTTATGACTGGCTTTGGGGGAAAACGGGGTTCTGGTTTCTATGACCTGCCTTCAAAAAGAGGGATTCTAGTTTCTATGGCTAGCATTGGGGGAGAATTGGACTGAGAAACAGAAGGGCAGGAGGAGGTCAGAGAAAAAATTTTGCTTCTGAGGCTTTTATTTTGGGTTATTGTTTTTTGAGCCCCAATAGCTTCACATTCTTTTCTCTTAAAGAATGTTGTCTACTTCCTTGATGAACAAATGACATTAAATTGGGATTTATTCTCAGAAGATTTGCTGTAGTGCAATAATTCATAAATATAAATACTAAATACTAAATATTATCTGGAATATAGAGTTATTAATACTAAATATTCATCTGGAATATAGAGTTACTGAAGTATAAGTTTTTAAAAATTAAAAAGATATTGCCTTTAAAAAGATACTGCCTGAAAAGATATTGAGTAAGAAATTCCCACCTAATCATATATTTTTTTATTCCCCAAATTTTCTTTCATTCTGTTCCTTCTGGATAAAGCCCTCCATAGTAGCCACCTGGGCACAATGGGGAAATAGAGATTGAGTGACAGTTACCTTAATGATGGTGCGATTTGATTTGCAACTGGTTAAACATTTCTCCACAAAAAAAAAAAAAACGATAGATGGCTCCAAGTTATTTTGCTGTGGGGACTTCTAATGTTATTTATTCTTAAGCCCTGTGTTGTCAGAGTTTTATTATATGAAAATACAATAAGTATTTTATTGATTTCACAGATAATCCAAAGATGGGAATGATGGTGAATATACTGGATGACAGAATTGGAACCAAGACAATTCTTTAGGTTGAAATAATGGGCCCAAATCTATTAAAATGAACCTCAATAGGAACAAATCTGAGGGCTTGTTTCTGGGCTCAAAAATACCTCACAAGTATAGATGCTTCTTTCACAGAGATATGTAACAAAAGGGACCTTGTAGCATAACAAGTGCAATGTGAGGCAATAACATGATGTGGACAATTGCAATCTGAGATATGTGGAAGCCAACAGAAAGCTTCCTCTTCACCTTCTGAAGTTGCACACACACACACAAAAAAAACAACTGACAAAAGGCAGATTAATTGGAGAAAAAGCATACAATTATTAACATGCACACAGGGGGCAAGGGGGATCCCCAGAGTGATTGCTCAGCCCCCTGTGGAGTACAGAAACTTGTATACCATCTAATGGGGGTTTGGATTGTGGCAAAACATGTGGTGGTGACAAAACAGGCTGTAAGAGGAAGAGAAGAGGAGGCCTGGCTAGCAAATGTGGTCTTACTATGTAGATGAAATCTCATAGGCACCAGTCCTCCAAAAGAAGGGATGGTGAACGTTTCTTTCAGGTCTTTAAAGATGTCAGAGTCTCGATTAATCTTTCCTAGGTTGGGCAAGGGAAGGTCTCAAAGAAAGCCTGACTGCATCAATGCAGATTTTCTCTACAAATTTCTTCCACAAAACACAGCTGTTCAGCTATTCTTATATTTTCAGCCCTTCTGAATAGCCATCTCAAAATGTCAAAGAAATATATTTTGGGGTGAAGTTTTCTGTACTCCTACAGATACTTTAGTAGATGTACAGTACAAACGATGAAGAAAGTTATGGTGCTGTTCTCTTGGAGTCTTATTGGGTTTTTATGATAGGTAAGACAAAAACAAACCAGAATGGGAAAAGAAGCAAGCAACACAGTATTGCACCTGGAAAAGTTAAAGCTACCAGGGAAATTTAACCAGGAGATATGAAGCTTTTAATTGGTTTGATACCAATGTTTGTAGATGTCCAATGGAAGAGAATTAAGCTTTCTCTAGAAACTTCAGTGAGTTGAACTAGAAGCGATGGGTAGAAGTTACAGAGAGATGGACTTTTTTCAACTTAGGACTAGAAAGGGCTCTCTAATAGAAGTGGCAACAGATGCACAAGCTGTCTTGCTGAAAGTATTTAAGCTAAAGTTAAATGATTACTTTAAAGAAATCTTGTAGGGAGAATTCAGATGGGCAGTTGGGTTTGATAGCTGGTTGCAGCTTTTTTTTTTTCTCTGAAATTCCTCATTATCAATCTTATAATGGCAATGTGTCCAAATAAATAAACTTAATGAATTAGAACTTTGGTAAGAAATTATATATTCATTATACACAAGCAAAAGTTACGATACTGAGGTGATAGAACAGCAATTCCAGAGAACCCCTGCCCTTGGAAATATTTAAAGAGTAGGAGAAACAACTATGTTGGCTTAGAGACTTTCATGGTAACAAACTGGCTTCTGAAGCAGGTAGTTTCTTGTGTTATGGTTATCTATGTTTCAGGAATCTGTATTCTATTTTTCAAAAACAAATTTTTGGTCAGATTCTTTTGGAGATCTTTAAGTTCAATCAACCATGTATAATTTCACTTTATGATGTGGAATAGACTTCCCAGAAACTTCTGGCTTACCCAAGGCAGAGAGAAAAACATGGTGCATCATTATTTGACTCCTCCCCACAGGTTGCTTCTTATTTTCTATCTTGAGTGGTTTGAAGGATGTGAGTTAAAATGTACCATTTGATCTTTAATGATATTTTAAGTTCTATCCATTAGAAAAAGACCTTTATAACTCTTATATGAAGATTCTTTGACACTAATTGGTGAGAAGAAAATAGGGATGAAATTATTCTTAGAGTATAGACAACCAATTTTAATTAAAGTTTTATATATACACATACACATACACACACATATGTATATATATGGATTTCCTCACTTTGATGTATATATGTTAGATACAAGTATAGCAGGATACAGAATTAAGGTCAAAAAGGGCCACATAAATGTTTGGAGTCAATTAGCCCAAATTTCCTGATCATCAGAATTACCTGGAGATTAAAAATTCTCTGGGGAAGTTTCTGATAGAACAGCTTTGGAATGGGGCTGAGGAAGCTGTGTTTTTAACAAGCATCAGTGGGAGTTCTTATGATCAGACAAGGAGAATGTTATTCTAGACAATTTCAAGTCACAGTTCAAGTAAGTGGAAAACTATAGATGAGCATGGAAGCTGTAACAGACAGACCTAGGGCAGAAGTTAAAGAAGGGGTTGCCACTTTCTAGGAAAGATGTCACAGAATTGATCTGCTCATTTATGCAAGTGGTGCTACCTAAAAACTTTCAGTTTCAGATCATGAATTATTGAATTGGCTCATGTATTCTACCTTTGCCAGAATATTTCTTTCCACGTGCATTTTGGAAAGAATTTCAGGTAAGCTATTTGCCTTGTGTGAATCCATCTTGCCACTTTGAATATAAATGCTTTTCTTTTTAAAGTAGCAACCAAACCACTAGTGGATGATTTAATGAGCAAAATGTGCCTTCTCCTTGTGAAGGAAAACAAAGAGCATCACCAGCTGCTTAACTGTGATGTGTGGGAAGAGATTTAGTCGATGCTTGCTCCTTGGCTCTTACCCATTGCTTCTCATGTCCTTGTTCCTTCATTTCCCCTTTCACAGACTAGCCATTTGGTGCTGTTCCCTCTTAAATCCCCCTCCACCTTATGGGCAAAATTATAACATTCAACTGTGCTTTATGTAGCTGTTAAGACATTTTCCCTTTATAATAAAATTTGAAACAAAGTTTGAAATTTGAATGGATATATTATACAAGCTATATTTCAATTAATGCAAATTATCTTTCTGTCTTTATTTTTCAAAAAAAATATCTACAAACTTTATTAAGCAGCCTTTGCTTTAAGCAGCTTTTAAAAGTACATTAATAGGATTTCCAGGGCAAATAAAAATGTTATAAATGCTGGATGACTGTAACTTTCTACCAACAGTTCTTTAATTCTCATGAGTCTTTGCATTCAGTAAATGAAGAAAGGACCTCTCAAAGACTACTGTCATTCCAATGGTTGTCAGTAAACAAAGGATCTATAGATCCTAGACGTTAATGTTAATTTCCTCCCTTTCCCCTATTTTTAAGGAGGAAATATTGAAAAGAATAGGCTGAAGAGATTATGAGATTAAATTGGGTGGTTCATAATGAGAAATGATACAAAGATGAATCATGGGAAATACTCCTATTAATTCCTCCATAATTTGAATTGAAGCTCGCATCACTTAAAGTGGCAAGGGTTTGGAGGACTCCTCTGTACTCTTCCTGGCTGTGACAATTCACACATGAGACATTTATTATTGTTTCTCTTGCTGTTGTTGGGTTTCAGAAAATAACACCTTAAAATGAAGGCCTCAGAAGCAGCCTCGGAGGCAAAAGTTTTTCTCTGGCCTTCTCCTACTGTCTTGTCTCTTAGTCCTATTATCTCCTTAAGTTAGCTATAGAAACCAGAATCCTTCTTGCCCAAGAGAGGTCATAGAAACCAGAACCTCCTTTCCCCCAAAGCCAGCCATAATATCTAAAAATATTCTGGGTAAAAATGGCCATAAAGAAATTATCTCATCTACCTTGTTTGACTATAGGTCATCAGACCTTCATTCCAGAGTAAGGTCTGCCCCACACCCAGAAGGAAGAAATGCATGCTCAGAGAGGCCAAGAAGGCATAGACAGGCCTGCTGGGTTTTCCCGCTCAGGCTATTAGCAGTGGCTCAGCTACTGTGCAGACTCAGGTTTGTGGACTACGCGTCCAGTGGTATCTCTGCTTACATTACTCTGTCAAGCAGTAATTGCCAGGAGTACTTTTTAACATATTAAGTAGCTTATTTGCATTTCTGTCTTAGTTTTTTGTCATCTGTTTCTCAAATTCATCTAATTTTCAAGCTGCTTGTGGCTTATACAGTGAACTAGACAATTTCTTCAAAACCTATATTTGGTCAATAATCACTGTTCTGGTAATTTGCCCACGAGTTGTTTCAGGTTTACAACTTAAAGGTAAATTTATTTAACTGATAGCTGCTGTTCTAATTAGTGATGCCTAGTAATTTAGATAGAGGCAGATGTTTAAGAAAATTAGCATTAGATACAAAAGAGCATAAACCAACACACATTTTCAACCTATTAAGCTCACCAAACATTTACCAATTTGGATAATATTACCAAAAATTATGAATGAATTAATAAAATTTCTGAAATATAATATATTAATCCTATAAACATTGTAGAACATATAGTGTAGCATGATAAAATGTGCATATTTTAAAATGAATGTGACTCTAATTTCAAATACTTATAGTAAACTGAATGACTGGAATTATTTACTGGGCAATTACTAGGAGGGAAATTGGGCGGGGTAGTGGAAAGAAACAGGTTTCCTCTTTAAACGGTTCTCAGTTGGGATCTGGGCAATCAGTGGAAGGTCTAATCCAGTGCACTTTCCCCAATTTATTCATATCTCTGAACTTAAAACTGTCATCGTAAAATGGTGGTAATAATATCCACTCCATAGGGGATTAAGTGCGATCGTATAAGTAAACTGCCTGTCACCCAGTAGCTGGTCGATCACTGCCTGCCACTGCTCCTCACCTGCTTTTCTCCACACTGTTCTGAGATACAGCAAAGAGAAAGAAATTGACAGGCTACAGATTACAATTATCAAGTGTTAGTAGAAATGCACCTTTGTGATAATCTACCCCTCAATTCTTCCTTTTTCTTTTTCTTAACTCATTCATGTGCACGACATATATTAAGTGCTATAATTTGCCGGGTACTAGTTGATGACGGAGGCAGTAAGGAACACAGTGCTGTAATTACTGGCCGAGGTCATAAAAAGTTCATTTGTCTGACTTCAGTCCAGGGCTTTCTTCATTGCACATGCTGTGTGTACAGCAAGAAAAAAAAAAAATCATAAAACGGAAACCAGAGGGAACTCTTTAAAATAATATGCAATTGAAATCTAAACTGTTACCCACAAGTGCTTGGGCATCTCAGCCAATGAATGACCAGTCAGGCTGGGGTAGGATAGGAGCCAGTGGGCTTTGTGGGATGGAAGACGCAGCTGTTCCTGGAAGGGAAGGAATGGAAGCAGGAAATAAACATGATTTTTTCTAACGGTCAAGTGGCCCAGCCCAGTGAATGGAAGTTCATGTTATAAAGCCCATGTGAAATAAGGTTATTATGTTGAGGTAAAATTTAACTTAGAGACCTTGAAAATTAAGCAGAAAAAGAAAAGAAAGAATTAAGCAGAGAAGTTTTGTCATAATAATAACTAGTATTTATTGTACATTAACTATGTGCCAGGCATTGTTCTAAATTATTTTAATGTATTAACTCACTTAATCCTTATAGCAATACTATGATAAAGATATTTTTATTACTATTATTCCCATTTTACAGAGGAGGAAACTAAAGCACAGAAAGTATGAATCATTTGCCAAAAGATTTACAGCTAAGATGTTGCAGAGCTGCGGTTTGAATTCAAGCAGTTTAGCCTCCACAGTCCACACTCTGATCACTTGGGTTATATTAGGAATATTTGATAAGTATGGTGCAGGTAGGAAATGAAAGTTTTTGATCAAGGGGATCGACACAAACAGAAGTGTGTAAGAAGTCAGGGAGCCCATGAGACATCCAGGATGGTCAATGGGTCTATGCCGTAGGGTGAGGTTATTGGAATAGAGAATTTGGGAACATACTAAATGTAGACTGTAAGGAAGAAAGTGATTCTAAATTGCTCCAAGATGTCAAGGGTGGGTGGCTGGAAGAAGGTTGGTGCCACTGTCTATAATAGGGAAGTTAGGGCAGGTGGCAGTTTTTGGGAAAAACAAAATGATTTAGGCTTTGTGTACACAGAATTTGATTTAACTTTTGAAATTGTGAGTCTAGCACTTGAAAAGAATTGAGAGATGGATACATAAGTTTGGGAGTCATTAGCAAAGAAGTGATAGGGGAAGTCATGAAAATAGATGCACTCTCTAAGGAAGAGACTGTGAAGAGAAAAGAGCAGATGGCAGAAGGAGTAGGTTAATTAGTAACGCGGACTAATGGCTAACCAAGGGTTGCCAAGCAAAGTACCTGCCAGGTTTGTTTAAACAGTAGCTCTTTAATTGTGTTTACATTAGTAATTTGCTTAGCAAACCTGGTTCCCTCCAAAGTTGATGGGGAGTGGGGCAACTCTGGATCAGTTTCGACAATTGAAAGAGTTTCAAGGTAGCCAAATAAATAAAGTTTGCACACTTGAAATACCCAGCCACTGTCCTGGTCATCTCCTTTAACTGAATACGTACCCTTCTTCTTCCCAAAGGACCATACAATTCTCATTTTGCAACTTACTGCTCCTGAAAGTTTCCCTTTATTTTTTACCTAGAGGACAATTAAAATGAATTCAGTGCCTCAGCATTTTATCCATCATGGATTTAATAGTTCTAGTTTATTAAGGAGCTTACATGTATTCTCTTTTCTCTTTTTCCCCTTAAAATATTTATAACAATCTCTTACTCATTCTGAATTTCACATCCCTTAGCTTCTCCTGAAATTGTCAACTCACTTCGTGTATCATTTTTTGTTTATCACTATTTTACTCTTTACTCTTTAGTCTTAGATATACAAAAAGCATTTGTGGACACTTTTTAGATTTCCTTAGAAATAAAAGGTGTTTATACTTAGAATAGACTTTCCTTCTACATTCTATATTATTTTATTCCAATGTATAATTACTTAAAATGGTTTTCTTGCAACTGTTTTTTCTGAATTAAGCATATTCTATTAGTGAAAGTTTAACTTACTAAATGCCACTCAAAACTATTGTCCTCAGATGTTGTATATCCTGATTTTTTTCCCTGTTTAAAGAAGAAAAAAAAAAACCCCAAAGATGGAATATGAAGTTCTTCCAAAATGTCCATTCTCTCTTTTACATGACCCTCCATGAATCTTGGATAATCAGTTAATATAACATGTGGCTCAAGAATTTTATTAATAAATAATAATAACCTGTCATATTACTATGGTTTTGGACTTAATTATAGAGCAATGAACCTTAGATATTTATTTTTCTTTTCAATCTTGCAGACTGATTCTTAACTTCTGATAAAGCTTTAGCCAAACATCTGCCTCTTCATAATCAAACTGCATATAGAGTCCATGTTCTTTGTTTCCTTTTTTATCAATTCCACATGGTCAGGGTTCTATTTTGCTCACTTATCATAAAGAGCTGCCTTAACTTCTTCTGGATTTTAGATCACGGGTCCGGAGGTGCTGACAGTAAGGTCCACCTAAAGGTATGGTGCCACCTTTAATACTTTTCTGTGTGCTGTAAGCCCCTGCAAACCAGGAGTCAGAACTGGATAGGGCATGAATATCTGTTGGCTTAGGCAT